ACAAATATACCAAGATTTTTTTGACTTCATTAAAAAATAAAATTGTTTTTGTAGGATGGAAACTTTTTGAGGTCAAAACCCCCCACCCCCAAACTAAAGGAAATAAGTTTTTTATCAGACATCAATCTTTTGACGTCGTCCCTTATTCAGAGCAATCTGTTTGAGTATAGCTCTGTCACTAGCATAAACCAAGACTCACAAGAGGTTTAAAGGATGATGGTGCAATGTCCTGTTCGATATAGGACTTGGAGCAACTACGGTACTGTGAAATATTTTATTTTAGGTGGAATTAATTTTCGCTGTAAAGACTTTTGGGATTTTTTGTATCCATTTTATTTTCATTGATTTTTTTTTCTTTGAAGAGTTAAATGTAAAATATAAGAAAAATAGAATATTCACTTGATTTTATTTTTATTCCTTCAGCGAAAATAGTGAAAATTGATTCCAAGCGAAAATAAAGTATTTTACAGTACTCCGCATCTCTTGTTCAAAACTCGCTGCAAGGCTACTTGATATGGGGCTTCATGCCAAGATCTGTTTCTACGCCACTGGTTTGTGATGAATTCATAGCAAGATCTTTGCCAACTAGAGAGGATAATGCATTTGTAGATGAATGAAATAATTAGTAATCAAAAGCTGTGCATGTTATTTGTATTGTGCATGTATCTTGAAATGTCGACCAGCAACCTTAACCAACCACCTCCTCCTCTGGATTCTACCAAAGTTTAGGTCTTGTCATCAGTTATCTGAACTGTGAGGTGAATTGTTTATCCAAACACAGAAATTTGAAATTATCTATCATTTCAACAAATTATTTTACTGTATTGACATCTCCGCTCCCTCTCCACCCAAATAACTGGAAAATGTGAATCCAAGCCATTCCTCAATGTCAAATTGAACTATCCAAACTTCATAAAGTACACCTCAGATTTCAAATTTTATGCCCTTGATTTCGAACTAAAACCGCTACTAGTGATTGGTTATGGTTGCTGGATCAATATTCAGGATAAACGATTACTGTACTCAGTTTTAAATTACTTACGAAAGATTAGATTTTAACTTCTAAACAGGGGAGGTTATAGCATTGACAACGACATTGCCTGCAGTAAAGAAAACAAGAATCCCTGGTATGATTTAACATGCTACCATCTCCATTTTGTTGTGCAATGCAGTGCAGCAAGAATACATTTCGAGTTGCGGTGGTAGCATCAATATTCATTTTATCACTGTTCATTACTTTTCTTATTTCTCCAGTATCATGTGTAAGCATGTGAGGCAATATGGTACTGTGAAATACTTTATTTTCGCTGGAATTAATTTTCGCTGAAAAGGCTTTTTGGGCCTTTTGCTTGGAAGTTATTTTCACTGATTTTAATGAGTTTAATGTGAAATATAGGAAAAAAAGTATATTCGCTGGATTTTATTTTCACGGAATCATCTCTTCAGCGAAAATAGCGAAAATAAATTCCAAGCGAAAATAAAGTATTCTACAGTAGTTGATTTATACTGGTCTATCGCTACAATTTGTTGGTAAAATTTTTGTAGCTTCCCAAATGGTCTCTAATTCTTGTCAGTTTGATTTAAAGGGCGGTAGTCGTCACTGCCACACGTGCGCGAGATATATGGGTCTCATATAAACAAAGATGGCGACTTTGACGCAAATGTTGCACAGCGCGACGACTGCTGTAGGTTGAAGCTCTAATCACTTTTACTTGCTAATGTTTGTGTATATTGCCTCAAAAACCATGTCTATTTACTTGTGCAAGTCTTGTTCACACCTTAGTTTCACAATCAATAGTAAAATACACTCGAAATAGGCTTTTTGGAGCATACTTGCTCATTTCAGCCAAACTGAAAAATTTACTTTCAATATAAAGGTGACACAATTCTGAAAAAAGGCCAGATAATGAGAGCTGCCAGAACATTGTTTTGCATAGGTCAGATGTAGTTTGGGTGTGACGTACACCATGTATATATTTTAAAAAGTGGAGCCTCAACCTACCTTACAATCTAATTGTTTTAATAAAACATTTTCACAAATTAAATGCATTGCGACATTGTCAAACTGTAAGGCGACCATTGCCCCCCCCCCTGCCAACCAAATGCCTCACATGCAGCTTGATGTATGTTAACATTGTTTCTTGCTTCACTGTATGTGACAAGTGCTTGTAGTAGACTTTTGAATCCATCATTGCACATAAAACTCGGTCAAGCCTACAAAACATCTGTTAAATGAAATGCAATACCAGTCATATATGCAAAAGATTATTAGTACTTGGCTTAAGATGCCACTAAATCTAGCATTGAGACAAATTTACATTACATTGTAGAATTGCGCCAAACGTGCGCTTTCTGATCCAATATTTGACGTTGTTTGGTTTACGTTAACATATACTTGTAGTAAATATTCCTCGAACTCTCAAGAATTACCATTTTGAGTTGATATCACATTCGCAAATTTATTACAGTACTTAATATTTGTCACTGACTTGGCCTTTGCCTTACAACGCAGTAAAATTGTGCTCTGCATTGCTATGGTCCTGGTCATCAGTTTCTTTCATGAAGTGGTAGTTTTATTTGCAAAGAGATTAGGCTTTCTACAAGTGCTTGTCATTGTTACATTTCAAATGGAGATGTCATGGTCGGTGTATCACCAATGTCATTAATAGCATGTGAAAACACATTAAACTGCATTACATTAGCCCTAATCAATGATATAAAACATGTTTTTGTTCATAAATATGTTAAATTTGCCATTTATTTTTATTTGAGACGTTAAAGATGGATTTATCCATTTCAAGTGTTCGGAAATACTTAACAGTACAGAATTTGAACAGTTGGCCCATCGTGCATCCCTTTCTACCTCTTGTTATATGCCAAAATTTGTATAATTTCTGCCGATGTCAACTTGTGATAATTGGATTGCATTCATTGGGGACACTGACTTGCTTTTCTAAAGATACCAATGAAATATGCACCGATACCAAATTGTCATTTCCACACAATAATTTATTTCTTGCAAAGGTCTTCAACAAATAAACTAAATTAAATGTGAAAGGCTTTTATTTGGTGATGTGTCGTTGCTGTACTTTTTACTGAGAAGTTTCATTTGAATGACGATTCTTTGAAGTCTCTCAAATATCTGGCAAATTTAAGTTTCCAGTTTTAATGAGCGTTGCATGAAACAGAACATTTTCTTTAAAAGAAATGTATTCTTCATATCATTCAAGTCAATTGTGTTGGATGCAAAACACGGGTGTAAACGCTGTCATAGGCTAATCACAGGGAAACTGAATATGTCACATGCTTTTCCACCCACAATGCTTCATTCAATATGGCTACCTCATTGCAGTAAATCAAAGTCATCATCATAGCAAGAGCAATTATTTAGCAAGGAAATCATCATTGCATTCATATGCTTGAAAATAAATATTGGGGCAGAAGTGGCCATATTGGATGTTTGATTTAAAAAGGGTAGTATCAATGGTCAAACATCTCAATGGAACTAACGTCACATGTTCAACTATAAACTAAAACAATATTGCATGTTACACTGTTATTTCCCAACTACTTGATTTTATTATACACTGCATGTTTTTTCCTCCCTATCTCTAGGTTATGCTGAGCCGACAGACAAACCTGGTTCGACAACTAAAGGTTGGGGTAGTAACTAAATAGAATAATTATTGATGTGTTCTTTTTGATGATGCTATCAAATCTATATCAGTATTAGTTATACTAGTGTACTTTTGATGGTACATGCATGTCTACATATACTCATCCAAGCTTTAACTTCATGGTATTTCTTTTTTAAAAAGAAATGCAGTTTGTCCCCTGTGTTGTTGGCTCAATGATGTAGATCATGACTGGAAGAAAACTTGTAATAATTTAACCAGTACAAAATGATATTTGCTATATTAAAAGTACACCT